TATTCTATGCTATTACAATCATTAGGGGGATGGGGTGTACAAATTTACAAATGGGGATTGCAAGAAATTAAAGTCCTAATCATCTATTACAACCATATTGAGATAATGTACAAGAAATATAAACTAGGCTTGTTTTTGTTTGTTAAGAGAAGAAATAAATTTACTTAAGAAAAATATTTTTAGTCTTTTTGTTTCAAAAGAAATAAAATAAAGTATGTGAATATAAAAATATTTTTTGTGTTTTTGACTAATGAAAATAGAAGTGATATTAAAAATAATAAGGGAAAAGAAACAGAATCAGCGCATTGCTGAAACAAGAGAGAAAAGAAGTAAGGGGCAGAAACTCTGACTCTGATACATCGCAAGAAAGAAAATGTTAGCAGAAAAGGGGAAGGCCAAATGTTCTGGGTCCGGGTACACTAAATTTCTAGGGTTGCTGGGAACAAGGGAAATCCTAGGAGTTCTGATGCAAATGGAAACCTCGAAGTTCTAGTGTTACTAGAAGGTTGGAAGTTTTGGTTGCTGAGGGAGTTTGGAAATTCTGGATGTTGAGATAGTTTGGAAGTTCTGATGTAGCTGCGAACCTATAAGTTCTAGTGTCACTAGCAAGCTACAAGTTATGATAATGGATATGTGAGGTGTCAATGCTGTTGGATGGAAATGCCTAGAAGTTCTGGTCCATGATCACTGTTTTGGAAAGCAATTGAAGGGGATTGATCTAGAAGTTCTGATCCAACTAGTGGGGTAAAAATGTCAGGAAATAAACATAAAAAAAGGTGTTTCTGGGGCTAGAACTCAGGACCCTTAACACTAACGTTTTATGCACATACTCTCTACCACTGGGGTGACTATACATCTGGTATTAGAAGCAAAAACATAAACATAGATTACAAAGTAAACTCTGATGTTGAATTTCATCTCCTTCTACATGCTAATTAGAATATCTGCAGCTTAGCCATTTCTCAACAATACAGAAAATGCACATATAGCAGTTATGGCAGGTTTCATCATGGTTTAAAAAATATAAAGCATCAGAATTGTAAGTCAGAGGCAAGCGTGAATTTTGCTAATCCTACTTATGAATCCTAATTTCCTCAAGAAGTTATGAACTGAAATTCTCTCTACTTAGGCAAAAAATACATGAAATATATGAATATGTACAACATCAGAGTCAGGATTTCTACATTGTATTTTTGAATGTGCAAGCCTATCAATACCCAAGTAATGAGATAAAAGTCAGAAGAAACTTACCTTGCAGCTTGAAAATATTCTGTGTGCTAGAGCCTGGTTATGACTGCTGTGATGTTCTGGCTAGCTTTCTCACGTTCTCAGAAAGCTGAAACAAACCTCCACTTGAGTTATGAATGGCTGTAACGTTCTGGAGCAGCCAAGAAGCAATGTTCTAATTTTTGAAATGGAAGTTGGTGGAGGTTGAATTGCAATTTGTAGGCAAAGGTTGGGATTGTTTCTAAATGTATGTTAGAAACTGAATGGGTGATTTGGCCAAGAGACGTGCAAGAAAATTAGAGTTTGGGTGTAAAAAGAAACAAAAGCTTAGCAGGTTTTTGTGTTTATGTTTTTAGTTTCAAATTCTTTGAAATTTCAGCAAGGTTCCAAGGCTTTTTTCTTAAATTCTCCCCCTCTTTTCAGTTGCAAATGAAGTTCAATTTATAGGCAAGGATTTAGTAGCTTGGAGAAGTCAAAAGTACAATCATCATATGCTAGGGCGCTGACTTGTTCTTGAAGCAAGTTTAAACAAGTATGGTTCAAGGCACAAAGTAGGGTAGTTAACCGTTTTAGCCGCGCTTAATCTGAATTTGTAAGCATGAATTAAGGAAAAGTACCCTCAGAAGCAAAAGCAAAGCATGGCCCCAACACAAACTTGTACAAAAGTTTGTTTTTCCAGAACATCCATGGTACTTCTATGCCACACGTGGGGAAATCCTTTGGATAAATCCTCAAAAGTGGGCGTGGGCATTAAATAATGATGAGATTTGTCAAAACAGAAACTTGCAATATGAGATTATGTATCATAGATTAATCTGGATCAGAAGTTTAGCATCAGCGTAACTTAGAACAAATATCCAACTTCTGATCTTTGAATCTCCCTGCTCCAGCATTTTCTGAAGGAATTCTCAGACTTTTTAGAAAACTTGTAACATGATTTGCACACCCTCTCTGAATTACTCTTGCAAATTCTGATTGAACCTTCGTGAAAACTAGCCCAGAAGTTTTAACCAAATTCTGTCTTGGAAATGTCTAGAATTTACTGAATGTTTTAGTTTCATGGACGTGTTTTCAAAGATTTATAACTTGAAATCCCAGCACTTCTAGAAGAAGTTCTGTTCTGCAATGTTCTAGATCTCATTGAGATCTACAACTCTTGTGTTAGAAGTTCTTTCAGAATCAACATGCATCATGGTGAAAATCTGGCCAGAAGTTATGAACTTATCATATTTCCTAAACACTTAGAAAAATTTCTAAGTATTTAGAATTTTGACTTTTCTAAAGTAATTTTGACTTTTGATTTTCTTGATGAAACAAATTTCATATTCCAACATGTCTTGATGAAATATTATTCTTGAAACTTGATTTTGATCCAAAAGTCAAAGTTTGACTTTTCAGTGTGTAATTGACCATTTTGCCCTTGTGCCAATTCCAAACATAAACTGATGTATCAGTGCTGCAAACTTGGTGTCATGGAAGATCTTGTGAGAAAATTCTTGAGAAATAAGAGGGCAAATTTTGGGGTACAACAATTGGCAATAGCTAAAACCTATTTTCTACATTTCAATCAAGTCAAAGATGCCTAAGTCTTTCCAGGCTTGGGATTTTACCTTTTCAATTTTATCCAGCCAAGCGAGATATTGTTTATCTGCTACAGGGTAAAACCTAAAAGGTCTGAAATTTTTCAGTTACATAGTCAAACTGAAAGGGTTTATCTTTAGCTATAGTAATTAAGGGAGTATCTTTTGGGTTTTCTCTATAGATGATTATGCTAGTTGTTCACCAGGGTTGCTATCTTTCTTATTAAAATGTTTGGCTTTGTTAAAAATGGGTTTTGTATCATAGTAAACAGGAAATTTTTTCTTAATTTGCTCTAAACATTTACAAGACATCAAAGGACCCATATACCCTAGGGTTTTATAAGTAAGGGTAAAAAGAATTATTACTTGAGAAGCATAAACTGTTTGTTGTTCAACAGAAATGGGTGATGTTGGAACCGGTTCTTGATTTCCAACAAGAATGGGTTTTGTGATGTGATGAATTGACTTAAATGCAGCATCATTCGTGATCTTCACTTCTTTGTTCTTCACATTTTTGTCGGATTTATTTACTTTTTTGGATGGTGCCATGATTGACAGATTCAATTTCTTGATTGTTTAAAGTTTTTTTTTTAGAAACAGAGAGTGTAAAATTTTGAAAACGAGAAGATTGAGAAGATGAAAAAGTGTGTTTGGAGAAGGAGAAGGATATTTATAAGCTGGAAACTGCTCAATTTATATTTTTAAAATTTTGGAGTTAGTGGGACACATGGTGATCTCTGATAAGCTGATATAAGAGGTCGCTTGTTTAAAATCCACATTGGGAACTTACTTTTATAGAAAATGATAGAACTGCTGCGTGTACGTCTTGCTTAGACGTTTTGAAAAAGTAAGTCATGATTGTTTTGACGTCATACAGTTATTGTCTATCACGAGGATATGTTCGTCGAAATATAATTGTTTTGCAAGAAATGTATGTTTCTCTAGGAAATTTGAAACACACATTTATTGGGGGCAATTTGTTGACTGGAAATTTCGACTACATGGAATTTAGCTGAAATAATATATTTTGGTGAATATAATACGAAAGAAAGAATAAATAAATTTGTGTGAAACTTTCGATAGATGAAGAGCTAATAAAAGCTTTGCTTTTTCTAAGTGTTGGCAAAAGGTTCGTATGCGAACCATAAAGATTTCAAGTTATTCGAAATATCATTAAGCATATTTCGACTGTCACGTTTGGCGCTTCAAAGAGAAAGAGTTTTCAAATAAAAAAATTGATCTTATCCAAAGTAATGCATGGAGGCATAGGATCCGAAGGCGCATGCAAATGTCGAACGTGTCAACATCTTATTTAGAGACCTTTGGTCGAAATTAGATTAAATAGAAGTCTTAGTGTTAGGATTTAATGTATTCACATCTTTGTACAAAATACTCAAAATTACTCAAAGTACTAGCGTTAGAGAAACGAGTTTGTGAGAATGTACGTATGATGCACCAATTTTATGTTTATTGTTATCCAACTTTAATTGAAAGCTTTACACTTTCCTTTAAATTTTAGTCAAAATCTCTTTACATTTCAGTTTTTTTTAGAAGCATTACTTTACTATTTACGAAATTACAATTGAAATAATCTTTGTCTAAAAGAATGAAGATGTTGTCAAAAATATTATTCGTTTTAGGAATACAAATTTTGAATGAGAACACATGTACTTAAGATCAAACTGGTCGATCCTGCAAATTATCAACTTTTATTCAATTTGGAAGAACAACAGTTGTTTACCAAATTTCACGGTAAACATGAAGTAGGTTAACAACTTTGTGTGTTCCCCTTTTACTTTCAGTACTCTTATCTGTTTTTATATTATCATTGTATTTTGATCAAATATTAGTGTCTCGACATATCTTAGAACATTGATGCATACTAGAATTTTAAAAAAGAAACATTTTACATTCAAGTTTTCAAATAAAAAAAAAACATTTCATGAGAATTTAAAAAAAAAAAAAAGAGAAACCTATAACTATTCATTTTATCAGAAATCTTAAATTATGTGGCAAACGTTTTTTAGTCGGAAATAAAATTATAAAAAATGAAAGCCAAATTCGCCTAAAATAAAAAACTAGCGCCAAATTTGCAGCGCGAAAATTTCAAAATTTTGAAGAACTTGATGAAAATCTCGAAAGGAAAATTGGTTTTAAAATCATTTCCCTTTCCTCCAGCTTCCAAGTTCGTCAATGTCGTCGCTTTCATGCCCTTCTGGTTTCTATACTATTACAATCCATATCTTACTACAATCAAATATCTAAATTGCGATTAAGAATGAATAATTGTGAGGGTTCTAATTTTTAAACCTAATAAAGGGTTTCATTTTTATTTGTTTATTTTCAGAGCCTCCTGATGTTGGAAATTGGTTCTCAAGCTATGAATATCAATCTCCAAATCTGGATTCCAATTTCACTCTCGAAGAAAAGGAAGCAGATTTTGATAAGGTTGGGGCTCAACATGAAGATCCGTGTTTAACCAAGGTGAATATCTTTTTCAGATTTTAATTTCTGAGTCTGAAGCATTTTTTAATCTGAAATAGCGATTTTACATTTTTTTTTCTGATTATTTTTTGTTGCTTGAAATTTTCTTTACAGAATACGGATTCTTGCAGTTCAAGCTCACTCTTCTCTGGTTTTTACTTTTGATGCTTCTTTTACAATTACTTTTTTGTTAAAAGAATATCTAATTCGGCTGCTATAAACATTTCTCCGCAATTCTTTATTTATTTCAACTAGCTAATTGTGATTGCACGTGTGTGTGTGTGTTTTTGTCCCCTTAAATCCAGAGCCTCCTAATATCAGAAACTGGTTCTCAAGCTACAATTATGAGTCTTCAGCGCTTGATACATGTAGTCTTTTACATGATGAAGAAGTTTATGATGGGAATAAGTGTGTGGAGGAGAGGTTTGATTTTAAAGTCATAAATAAGGATGAAACTGAGTCTGAGATTGTGCAGCCTGAAGTTTGTGTTGAACACAATGGCTCTTTTGATAAAAACATGAAGGTAAAACATAAATTCCTGATTTCTCTTGTAAAATCTATGTTATGGAATTAATTGGGTAAATAATGCACATTTGGTAATAGTAAATTTTTCTAAATTCTGACCATGTGTTTTTGTAATATGGTAAAAACCATTTATGCTCAGTTGCCCTATTGTGTTTGGATCTAACTCATCCCTATTGTGTTTGGATCTAACTCATCCTTAATTACAATTCCGGCTTGTAGGGTAGGACAGTCTCCACTTATAAGTACATGCTTAGGCTATATATTGTCTGATGTCAACCTCTTAACACACCCTCTCACGCCTAAAACTGGACATATGGAGTGTGAAAATAAATGGTGGGTGACCCATTAAGAGAAACTTGATAGCAAGTGGACTACCGGATCTTAAACAAGTCTTTTGGTACCATGTTATGAAATGTAGTTTAGGCCTAACTCATTCATACAAAACCGTCTTGTAGGATGAAGATTGCCTCCATTTATAAGTACATGTTCAGGCCATATTGTCCGATGTGTGACTTTAACATGCACCTAGAAGTAGGTCATTTAGTTGGTTGATGACACGAATGGATATTGTTTAGTTTGTCGAAGTTTAAAATACATGAATGTTTCTCCTGGTCATTTTAGCTCACTGTTTTTCTTTTGTGTTGGCAATGATAGGGTGATGATAGTGCTGGAATGAAGAAAAATATAACTATTGCCAGTACTACCCATCTGGAAAAGATTTTGCAACCATGCATGCAAGATAAGGCACTGCAACACAGTCTTGCTTCAGCCAAGCATAATGAAACGGTGAACCGGAATTGTGGAAGTCCTGGTTGTAATGGAGAAGCACATTTAATGTCTATGGACGCCCATGCAGGTGCAATGAGACCTCCAAAGCTGGTACAAAAGCATGATACAAATGAAGCAAAAACAAAAGAAGAAATCCAAGCTGAGAAATTTGACACTAACACCAGTTTATTTAAAAGCTTCTTGGCAGGAAGTTCAGCTTGTACAGGAAATAAAGAAAATGATGGTTTTGTTACAACAAGGAAGAAAATTAGTACCAGAGCAAATGATGAAAGTTCTTGGAAGAAACCAGAAAAGACATTATTGCAGTGTTCAACAAGTACAGGAATAGTTCCACTGGCATGTGAAAAGCGTAACGTTGCAAAGAGAAAGGCATTGACAGAAGCAACAAATCTTCAACAATACAATGCTATTGAGATTACAGGGAAATGGCAATGCCCACAAAAACGTAAACCGGATAAAGGGCCTGCTTTGAAGCAACTTAGGCTTGAGCGATGGGTTCACAGGGTTGGAAATGTCTCCCCTCAATGACAATGTTGCCTCATTTCCCAAATGCTATAGCATATTGGTTGCCTATGAAAGTAGTAAGTTCTATATAGCATTAGGGAAAACAAAATTGCTGAAACATCAATGGTGTGTTACACATACTATCTTGTATTACTGTTGCAATTTGGTTAAGGATTGCGTTATGTTGTTGAATAAATTTTCATTACTGACCAATACTTTGTTTTGATCTGCAACTTGTTGGTTTATGCTCCTGAGCTATTAGAATTGTTAATCTGAAATTTCTAACTCCATAAAATGATTCCAAATAAGACAACGCCTTGAATAACATCAAATATTCAAAATAATGACAACAATATTGGGTTAGGGTAATATTCTATGCAGGAACTATACAAATAAGAAAGAAATTATAACAGAAAATAATCATTAACGTTCTATAAAGGAATTGTTATTGGTATGTGTAAAGTCCTCCTTCTCCCTCGGTTGATATTTTTCAGGCTCGAAGGCCTTGGAGTCAAGGAATTGAACTGTAGGAGAAAGGTGATGGTGGATTAGGGACTTGAACAACACCTTCTAGCATTTGCACGACCATCCTCATCGTTGGCCTTGTTTCAGGATGCTCAAGAATGCACCAAATTGCTATCTTTATCCACTTTTCTAGCCTTCCAATGTCACCCAAGGCCTCTTGATCATTCTCCACAAGAGCATCTATTCTCCCTTCCATATAGCAATTACAAGCCCAATCTGCCAAAATTGTCTTCTCTTCCTCCCCTGGCTCCATCAGCACCACACTTTTTCTGCAGCAAACAATTTCCAACAACATGGAGCCAAAGCTGTAAACATCCACTTTAGCTGTCACAGGAACATTCTTGAACCATTCAGGAGCCACATAACCCCGTGTTCCGCGGATCATTGTATTTGTTCTACTCTGATCAGCCAACAATAACTTGGCCAGTCCAAAATCAGAGATCTTAGCTGTAAAGTACTCATCTATGAGTATATTTTGAGGCTTTATGTCACAGTGAATGATGGGAGTGTCACACTCTTCATGTAAGTACACCAACCCTCTTGCAATCCCCAAAGCAAATCCAACCCTTTGATTCCACTTGGGTTTGGATTGTCCAAACAAGATATCTGCAAGACTACCATTGCTCATGAACTCATACACCAACATTCTATGGATTCCCTCATCGCAAAATCCAATCAACCTTACCAAGTTTTTGTGGCAGGTTTTACCAATGGCACTCAACTCGGTCTTGAATTCCTTATCGCGGTCTTGTGCTAACCGATCCAATCTCTTAACAGCAACAACATTACTAGATGATGCTGCTTTTAATTCACCTTTGTAAACAATTCCAAAGGAACCTCTACCTAGTTCTTCATTAAAACCCTGCGTAGCTTCTTTTAATGCTTCATAACTAAAGGAACATAAATTTGTTTCCAAGAGAGTTGCACCTTGGACAACAACCCTTTTCGGCTTCAACAAAATGACGAAAACAATCACAGCCAAGAATATGCTATTGAAGACTGCTGAACCAATAAGTAGTCCTCGAAGAGTCCGCTTAACATCGTCTTTTGTCAAGTCAGTGTAAGAACCAGTACCTATTTTACCAAGAGGAGAAACTCTTGTTTTAATAAGTACTATATGGTCACCATTTTCTTCTCTTCCATTGACAAGAGGCGATTTTTTCTTCCAACAAGTTTGGTCATTGAAAACAGCAACAGCACACAAACAATCATGCAAACAAGATTGTTGACACTCCTGTTGAGAATAAGGTTGCAGCCTTCCATAATCTGATAAAGGCCAATTTACACCTTTAAGTTCAGTAAACTCATATAAATCTTCTAGCCTCACATTCAATCCTTCACCATTATCAGCTCCACAACCAAGTGTGAAGTTCAGTTGACACCCACCAAATCGATTACTCGGATCTACCAGCGAGTAACCATAAGGACATTTACAAGTAGGTCTCTGATTGTCCATGGAGCAATAGCTATTATAACCACAAGAACCACCACCCATTTCATTGTCCACATCATTGCAAATGTTCTCAGGAACATACCTCACAATAGTCCAATCTTGCTTTGCCTTTGTATCTCTTGGATGAGAATATTGAGTGAAAACTCCATAATAATCAAGCGTTGCTCTATAATAATACAACTTAGGATCAGAATCCAAATTGCCCCACTGTGCACCCTGTGGTTTCATTCTAGTCCCATTATTTGTTTCCACATAAACATCTCCTGATTCATTAAAAACCAAACTCGAAGAAGCCGAGTTAGGAACATCATTTGTATAGTAAGAATCGTAACGAAATTGAGTAGGCCATGCAAGTGGACTTAACATGAGATTTTTATCAGCATCATTAAAATAAAGCTGGAACCTTCCACTTGTAAAGTTGTTCTCTGATAATCTTGAAGTTAAGGTGTTACTTAACCCAAGAGATTGATTAGGCAAAAGGGTATCAGTAGGAAACTCGAAACTTTCCCAAACAGTTGAAATGTTGTTTACAAGAACAAAGTTTCCGGTGTCAAGCATGTTTCCATAGGAAACCACAGCGTTTGGCTGTGCTGTCCAAATGATCATATCTTGTGGAGTTGTCAAAGTAAGTCCTCCTGATGTTAACTGAATCTTTGATCCCGTTGGTACTTGTAAGAGATTGTTATTGTTGTTTGTGTCTCTGGCAGTCCAAACAACGGTTTTATCAGGTATTTTGTTGTACCATATTGCAAGCATGAAAGGGTTTGTTGAGGTGTTAAGTTGGCGAAACCCGAAGGCGAATTCACCAGAAGGTGATAGCCATGAATTGTTATTGTTGGTGGTGGCAGTGAGTGTTGAGATTGGAGCAATGTTTCCATGGACTAACATAAGTTGAAGAAAGAGAATGAAAATCATGTAAAGGGTAGAGGAAGCCATTTCTGGTGCTAGAAATTTGTGAAATATGTAAATTAACGGTGCAAGTAATTGAATATTATATAAGTGATTTTTTGTTACTATTCCTTAATTTGAGTGTAACTTCCAAATTGACCATAGACATGCATAAAAAATTGTTTGCAATTGACATGTTTAAGTTACATGCATGTATTAGAATTTAGAACTATATGTTGATGAAAATTCAGCTTGAGAATTTCAATAATTCACATAGTCACAACTCCTTTTTTACCTGTCAAAAAAGTAATATCTTTTCTCTGTATATATTGTTGATTTATTGCTTAGACTGAGTATTTGCAAAGTTATGACATTAACAATTTGTCCTCTCTTGCTTTGACACGAGGCGGCGTGTTAATAGTCTTATATTAAACAACACATTACTTGAATATGACTTTATATAATCTTATATTAAACAACACATCACTTGAATATGACTTTATATAATCTTATATTAAACAACACATGACTTGAATTTGACTTTGTATAATTTGGAACAATTCTCGTGTTACAACACATTGTTTAATGTTGAGTTAGAACAATTGTTAAGAATTGTTCATTTCTAAAATTTTGCTTGTTTGAATTTTTGGCCTAAAGGTCAGCCTAAACTCAATTCCCTTATATTTTTATAAAGAGAAAAATGATGATGCTAGTATAAAAAAAATTTATATTGTGATTGAAATTTTTTAATTAATTATATAATAGGATAAATTGATATATTTTTATTGGATGACACCGCAAAATTTTTTTACATTGTAAAATCTCTATTAAACCCTTTTATAAATTTAATTTATTTAAACATTTAAAATTCACTTAATTTTTTTTAACAAACTTAATTTATTTAAATATTAAGTTTATTTTCACAAATTTAATTTACACAAATTTAAATTTATATGTACATATTAGGGGTGACAAAATGGGTCAGATCCGCCGAATCAGTCCGTTTGATCCACTATTTTTGACGGGTTGAGTTGAGATTTTCGGCTCGGTACTTTAAGTTGGTCCGCCCTGCCTAACCCGCTTGAAAATGCGGGTTTAGACGGGACGGAACGAGTTTTGTCCGCGAGCTTTTTGTTACAACTTTTTACTTTTTATTTAGAATTAAGACAATTTTAATTATAAAAATAATAATATTCTCTTTGGATTATGGTGATTGAACTACATTCTAAATTATTATACAGACAAAATAAATTATAATTGTACGATTTTTTATATAACTTTCTAATACATGTATTGATGAAAAAACTTGAAATACAATAACAATTGTATGACATGAAGAGTTATTAAGTTGTCAATACATTAGCTCACATGTTTTCTTTAGAAACAAATGTTTTTTAAGAAAATAAAGAATTCGATTAGAGTATATGTGTGACAAATTTAAGATATAACTATTAAGGAATCAATCAATATAATAGTCTATATGACGTAAACAATGAGAAAGTCAGGTCTTAATATTTTATACACTACTATTTTATGCACTGTATTGTTATCATTGTTTGTCTTGTGCAATTTATTAATTAGATTCCTTTAGTAATTAGTTTTTAAATAGGATTATGATAATATGTGTTGTTTATTTATTTATTTTGATACTTTTTTTTATCGTGCTAGAGTCTATTTCGATATGTTTTTCTTGAAATTGGTCTTTATCTATTTTATTTTTTAAGTGTTTGGACTTAAGACATGTTGAAGTTATATTATGCGCTGTTAAAAAAATATCTTTTGTCGACTTCTTTAGTAAAGATTATAATTTTTGTAAATTATGTAATAAATTAAATTGTAAAATAAAAAAATTAAAAAAATTGGCGGGCCGGCCCGCCAACCCGCCAACTCGTTAGTAAACGGGACGAACTTGACTTTTGAGCTCGGATGCCTAAGTTTGCCTGCTCCGTCCCACCCCACTTTTTTACGGACTTAAACAGGACAGGCCTAAACGGGATGGACCGCCCACTTTGCCACCCCTAGTACATATGAACTTTGATAATATAGGACCAAAAACAATTATATTGAACCAAAGCTTATAATACAAGTTTCAAACTCTTAAACTTGTAATGGAGTGATTTAGTAAAAACTTCCTGCTAACTAATCACTTAGCAATTTTGGCAATTGAATCAATTTTTGTTGTTGTCAATAATTCACTTTTTACAAACAACAATTTAGATATTAGTATTAATCTTATCGATTGATCAGAACCTATAAGGTGGTCAGATGATGATCTTCTATCGGGCTGGAATGTTGAGGAGGAAAAAAAGGGGGTTGTACCTGCAAGGCACTCCGACGATCAAGTAAGTGTGAGAGTAAAAAGATACAAGCAAAGTATTATGGTTTTTGTGGTGAATAATGAATATTCGATACCTGGTCCTCACATATGTGAGGGTTTATATAATGCCCTTGGCGCATGACCATTAGTTCCACTTTTTGGGCCTAAATATGCGAGTCCGCAAAAATAAGTAACTGCTAGGACTTGGTCATACCGGACAGGTGTGCCCGCAACTAGTCGCTAGTTCTGAGGAGGAGGTAGGTTACGGGCAGCGGTCTAGTCAGTTCCTGGTTGTCTCGCCGACTTGAGGTCGGTCAGGCTGAGAGGCGCTCGTTGATCATCGTTGATCAGTGTCGGTCTTGGAGGGAAAACGAATGATGGTGCCCGACGGAGGGCGGGAAAATATGGGTCGCGATCGTACGGGCCGTACCAAAGAAGGAGGTTAGACTTGACCCACTTTAGCTGTCGGGCCAGTCCAGAACAATAGCCCCCACAAGTCTTGCTTCTGGGCATAAGAGTGATGACTTTAACACCTGCTCGTGGGATAGGGCGCTTCCTACGGGGAGCATGAGCGTCGCCCGTTGCACATTTCTCGCGGGGAGATGATGAGTTGGTTGTTCTGAGCTTCGAACTTGAAGAGGTAGCATGTTTCAAGTAGTGCACTGATGAAACGGTGCAATGATGGTCTAGGGGCTAGGGTGCAATGATGATCTAGGGGCTAAGGTGCAATGATGATGATCCTACGGTTCCTCAGGCGCGTGTCTCTCACGCGCGAGCAATTTCAACTATAAATACGAGAGGAGTAGGGCATTATGTACTTTTCATTCTTCTCTCACACTTCTCGTTACTGCTCGCCTGTCAACAACCGTTGTTTCTTGAAGATTTACTGCTCCCCGTCGCTCTTTTCATCCTTCTTTCTTCTTCAACTAGTAAGATTTCAATTTTTTGTTGTCATTTGGCTGTTGTAACTTAGATTTTCACGATTTTTGCCTTAGAAATGCATGCAATTAAGGTTAGGATCTTGTCTGTTAGGGAATTTTTAGGGGAGTGTTGGTAGCAGAAGGTGGTTCTGTAGTTTTAGGAACGACGAAGCCGCCGTGAGTTTTCTCCTGATATTCATGATGCACCGTAGGCCACCCTTGAGGATTTAGGTCGTTTTTGCTGACTAAAGCTTGTCTTGTTGAAAAAAGCATTTGTTCATTCAGATGCCTTAGTGAAGGTTCTGGTCGGGGACATGGTCCTCGTTTATCAATGCCCTTTCACTTGATTAATGGTGGAAGGGTGGTTTTGACATTGATGTCAAACTCACCTCTATCATCTGTTTTTCAGGTACTATGGCCGATAATGTTGGTGATGATTTTTCAGATGGATGGATTGGATCCTCGCAGAGCTCTACGAATGGCACTTGCAGTACGTTGAGCATCTTGGAGATGTCTGAGGATGAGCCGAACATGTCTGATCAACATGTAGGGGGTGAGGACGTAGAGATGGCACCCGTTGATTAGGGTGGCACGTTTCTTCCCAATGACGATGAAGACCCACAAACATGGGTCGCGCAAGACCCTTGAGATTGGGTTTATTATTTCTTCGAGCACCACGATGAGGTTTTCACCGAGGTGTATGCGTACGATGATGGAGGTCAAAGGGAGTGGTCAATTTGGATCCCCATGAAAGATAAGCGGATCTGCTCTAGATATGATAAGCGACAGATCCCTATATACGACATCGTGTTCCGGGAGATGGGCCTTCGACTCCCCTTCTTGGATTTCCAAGTGGCCTTTTTTTGACATCTTTAAATGGCTCATTCTCAGTTACATTCTAACAACGTTGCTTTCATGCGAGCGTTCGAGATTGCCTGTGATTACTTGAAGATAGGGGCCACCATCCCTTTGTTCTTCTATTGTTTCCATCTCCAGAGGAGCAAGGTTGATGGAAAGTGAGAATGGATCACCTTGAAGCTGAGCAATGAGAAGCTGTTCAAAGCTTACCTGGAGTCAGTTCGGTACTTCAAGGACAAGTATATTCTTGTGCATCCTCTTTCGAGTAGGGCGATGCTGAACATTTTCCGGGCTGCTCCAATACATGATGAGAATGGGCCCCCCGTTTTGAACGAGTTGGGAGAGCACATGAACAAGTTAGTCTACAAGTTCCCTTTTTAGTGAATGAGAAAGAATTTCGACAATAAATTGGGTTCCTACGTCTGGAAGGAGGGGGAGCTTGGTGTCAAGGACCAGATGAGCTTCACCGTCTTGACCACTTTCGTTGCACGGATTCCACGCGTCTAACATGCGGTCAAGGGAGGAAAACTGGTAACAAACAAGAAAGGGGAGATCGTGTACGAGCCTGATCTGATAGTCATTAAGGAGCTTCTTGAGAGCGAGGATCCTGTCAAATACTTGGGTATTTAGTTTAATGTTTTGAGTAATCGTACATGGTTGATGTCTTTGAGTCCTCGTTCGCTAACTCTGACTTTCTGTTTGTTTTGCAGATATTTGTGTTTGCATGTTCATTGTTATGCTTGTCTTCTTGAGACATATTTTATATTTCTAAGGGTTTATTAGACGATGCCACTGATCTTACCGGTTGATCAGGACTTGCAAGGTGGTCGGATGATGATCTTCTGTCGGGATGGAATGTCGAGGAGAAAAAAAAAGGGGTTGTACCTGCAAGGAACTCCGACGATCAAGTAAGTGTGGGAGCAAAGAGATACAAGCAAAGTATTAGGGTTTTT